TGCTGTTCTCGGCCCTAATGACATGGGCTCCAGGCAAGGCAGACCTTATTCTAGCTACGATGTCTGGGTTGGAGGAGACTACTTCACACTTGGAAGGGTTCAGGACGAGACCCAGGCTTACTTCTTGCTCCCTTATTTTCCTGATATCTGACAAGAGGTGGTCTACGGTGCCAGCTATAGTGCCATCATCCAAAAACCAGATGTTGAACTCGCTGGACAAGCTTTCGGTGATTTCTTTTAAGACTAAGCAGAAAAGAAGGGGAGCAATATATATATATATATATATATATATATATATATATATATATATATATATATATATATGACAATGTCAGACCACGGATGAAGGATTGAAACAGGAATTTCCTTAAGTACTTTCGTATTTTAATACATCTTTAGAAGGAATGATTTACAAGCCAATAGATTTGGACATATACAGGCAGGAAAGATAGGTGAAGTGAGGTACAATATAAAATAAGAGCTGCATCATATGGGCCAATAGGCCCCTATTATTACCCATGTATGGGCCAATAGGCACATACATGGGTAATAATAGCATAAGATAGTAGATATTAACAAGGAATTAGTGAGACAAATGTGTAACCAATGATCCAACTCAAATCGCCCTCTAACTGATGAATCAAAAATGGATCTAAATTACATAAACCACTGCTAATATTCAAATTACATGATTTTGTAATTTGTATTAAAGCAGATTCAATTATGTTCCTATTGAAAGTATTCTTACAATTCGTTATTGAAGAAGCCATCTCCCAATCAATTTGGTGAGAATTTTCTGACAAATGAACAAAGCTAAACATTAGACAATTGGCCATATCTTATGCTTTGTTTGTATCTAATGGTCATGTGACAAACATGCATTAGTTTGTGTTTGGCCATGTCTCTTGCTTTGTTTGTTCATTTTTCAGAAAATTCTCACCAAATTGATTGGGAGATCTCTACTCCATATGCAAGGCAACAGCCCATCGCTGCTTGCTCTGTGATGACAATCACCCTGCAGTTTCCTTCCACTGTCCCTGAAGACAGGAAAACATCAAGGCACAAGTTGAAGCCAAGAGAAACAACCCTTCTACCTCCGTGACCAGAGCCCCAGGCGCTCAACCCACCACCTCAGCTCCCACCAATAGACTATAAGACTTTCTAGCCTTACCAAAGAATGGCTGCACCAACCAGGCGATCCAGCCTTCACAATGGGGACCCAAGGCCCCACAGGCTCCTTCGCAATCCCCTGCATCACGTGCAGGCATTATTCCTGGTCGTATTAGACTAGCGGAAAGGCTTGCCGGACCATTACACCGTTTTGTCAGTGAACTAAACATATTATACCTTGCCAATGGCCTGGACTCCATCATAGCCCCTGGTGCAAGTCTCACTGCCTCCACTACCACTCCGGAGACTACCACCAGGACGACCACGAGGTCGACTTCAACACAGACTCCAGAACCACCCAAGACCTGGGCGGCACAAACAGAGGTAATTCCCTCTCCAGCTCCCAACACTCCTACCATCACCATCTCAGTAGCCGCGCTAGCAGACGTACTGTCTACAAATGCTAACAGCACCACCAACGCTCCTGAAATAGCTTCTACCACCAATTCTCGACACCTAAGCCTAACTAAGGCTGCAAAGACAAAAACACCAACTACTGAGGTTACGGACTCCTCAGACGAGGAAATCTCAGTAGGAGCTCCACCGCTGCAGTACAAATACGACACCTACTCGGCACAAGACCTCCTCATGGAGGCCACCTCACCAAACTACAACGACAGCACGGCTCAGGCAAAGAAAAAATGGAAAACCAAGAGGGCTACACTAACCCACCAGCTCCATAACTGGTACAGCCAGCCCTCCAGGGCTGAAAACCACCATGAAGACCCTCATCCATCGCCAGATCTCTAGTATCAGCTGTTGATACAGAAAATGGCTCCAAAGCGCTTCCACTTACGGGCTCTCCATAGCCCGTGCTACTAGAACTTCTTGTTCTGAGCAGCTGAAACTAAAACAACAACAACAACAACTGTAAATCCATCATTCTGAAGATGTATTATTAAATACGAAACAACCTAAGGAAATTCGCGTCTTAATCGTACACCAGAATACATACAGTCATACATCAGAATACATAGTGTCACTGAGTGGCACTGACACTGTCAATCAGAATACAGACTTTCTCTCATAAATCACTGCAATACAGACCTGGTCCTACAATCATCACAGTTCTCACACCCATAGCATACAGAACATCTATAATCTATCCAGGTCATCCATGTGTGCTCACAGAACCTTTAGAACTGCACTACAAGCAAAATAACGGACCGAACTAAATATCCACCTACTCGATCAGACTCTCCAGTATATATAATTCACTGTGTCGGGGGAGAGGAAGCCAGAGTGTATTCATACGCGTTAGGCTTTTATCGAGGTCCCCCACCCCCATCCTGTCAGAAATTTTCGACCTCCAAAGTACTAATCTCAACCTGTCCTCTTAAAAATAACGTCGCTTTTGGCCGTTTGCCCGTATGGCCGAAAGTGGACGTAATATGAAAATGAAAAAAAAAAAATTGGGATTTTTTTTTCAACAACAGTAAGTTAAGGATCCTCTGGTAGGTTAGGTGGGCAGGAAATTCTCATAAAGTTTCAAAACGTTATGAAAAACGTTAATTGAAAGTTTCCTCTTCTAACCTTACCGAGTAGGCCGGACGACACAAACAGAAAACGGGACATTACGTCACTTTTGTGAGTCGATTTCATTTCAAATTACGTCCAAATTTGGCCATAGTGCGCATACGAGCCAAAAGTGACGTTATTTTTAAGAGGACGGGTTGTTTGTAGCACAACAATATTAATGCGTTGTGTTAGGGTATTAAATTTACCAGCAATATTAATTTCTAGTGAGGAAACGCCAAAAGTTTCTTAATATCGATAGTGGGCTATTGCGTCACCACCACGTCTCACGCGGTGACGATTTCTTCATCAAATTCATATTAAAACCAGTCTGCAATTTGCTTTTATTTCCATTTGTTATTTCGAGTGGAAATAAATTAAATTTAACAAAGAATTAAAGTGTACTTCCGTCCCAAAATGAATTTCCACATCCGTGACATGTTGATTTGTAAGCGAATAAATAATCACGTCACGTATTCAGCATTTCTTAAATGTGCTTTAATCTCGAAAAACTTCCGATCCAGTGTTATGAACAATGGAAAATTGTTCTCTGGAATGTGTTGTAAAATATTAGGGTGTGAAATGATACCAATACCGACTCGTTGGTGAACGAGATGGATTAAATAGCGTGACTAACTTCATGGACGTTCACCACGACCGAGGGAGGAGGACGAGTCACTTGCGCACAGTCTCACAACACCACGAGCTCGATCTGATCCCTACTGAAACAAGCCAATTAGCATCGTCCAATATTTAGGTCATCCGACGTACCACGGCTCCCAGACTTTGCTGCTAGCTTCACACAACAAGGGAAATTGTGTCCGGTCGGTTATTAAAATTCTATTGAAATTTATAGCCATATTTACCTGTATTGGAATTAGCTGGCCGTTACGCCGCATGAGATCGTAAACATCCAGAGTAAGTTTAGGTTTAAGCAAGAAGTTATTCTATTTATTTGAGATTAACTGGGGAAATATCAGCACTGCAGGAGTTACGTTGTATGTTTTCAGCAGAGTGGAGAGATGCCACCGGGAGCCAGCTGCCACCGGGAGCCAGATGCCACCGGGAGCCAGCTGCCACCGGGAGCCAGATGCCACTGGGAGCCAGCTGCCTCAACTTATGGTGTTCACGTGGGCTCGACACCACCAATCAGGAGGCGATAATTTTGACTGACTCTCGAGAAGTTCCAATGACGTTTAATACGCAAACCTTATCGGCAGCCCTCTAAAGTTATTCATTGATAATTGTAGTTAGTCTACTAACTTTAGAGAAATTTATTATTTACCATGATTTACTAAACCCATGATTACATAAGATTATACTGTGGATTTAACAACATGAAATCCACCTCCCAAAAGTGGTGTGAGTGGTAACACCTACCAGGTATATAAATCCATCATACAGTCCACTCAGCTATAACTAATCTTAACATCAATAAACACCTGCTGGGAAATCCCTCCCCCCCCCCCTAGGTTCGAATAACTGATCCCGCTCTGGATGCAACCCCACATCAAGCTGACTAACTCCTGAGTACCTACTTGCTGCTAGGTGAACAGATCCATTAGGTGAAATGAAATGTGCACAACCATTTCTGTCCCGCCTGGGGTTTGATCCCGGAATTCTCGATGGTGCATCGCGAACGAACCAGACTGTATTACCGTGACCCCTGGTAAATGTATAGCTCTACGACGGTGTAGAAGACCCACCCACACGACAGTCTGATCAGAAGACCCACCCACACGACAGTCTGATCAGAAGACCCACCCACACGACAGTCTGATCAGAAGACCCACCCACACGACAGTCTGATCAGAAGACCCACCCACACGACAGTCTGATCAGAAGACCCACCCACACGACAGTCTGATCAGAAGACCCACCCACACGACAGTCTGATCAGAAGACCCACCCACACGACAGTCTGATCAGAAGACCCACCCACACGACAGTCTGATCAGAAGACCCACCCACACGACAGTCTGATCAGAAGACCCACCCACACGACAGTCTGATCAGAAGACCCACCCACACGACAGTCTGATCAGAAGACCCACCCACACGACAGTCTGATCAGAAGACCCACCCACACGACAGTCTGATCAGAAGACCCACCCACACGACAGTCTGATCAGAAGACCCACCCACACGACAGTCTGATCAGAAGACCCACCCACACGACAGTCTGATCAGAAGACCCACCCACACGACAGTCTGATCAGAAGACCCACCCACACGACAGTCTGATCAGAAGACTCACCCACACGACAGTCTGATCAGAAGACCCACCCACACGACAGTCTGATCAGAAGACTCACCAGTAGTAGAGGAGCAGGAGAACGCTGGGGACGGAGATGCAGAGCTGGAGGTAGCGCCACTCTCTGACGAAGTAGGCTATGGCTGGCAGGAGGCTGAAGCCCACGCTGAAGAACCCCTGGTACATCATCCCCATAATGGTCCGGCCCTCAGGACCCACCACCTCCATCACTGTGGGATCCAAGGGAAGGGAGGTGGAGTTTCAGGACAAGGGGTTGGGTACTATGTAAGTGGCATTTAATGTCATATATAGATAATTGGAAGCCTCAAAAATTGACAGAATGTTCCTGGATTGATAGAAATAAAGAATTAGACAAAACATTTATATATGATGTCACTTAAATTAACTCATGAACTAATATGTTCTTCCTTTTAAAATTCAAAATCATAAACAGAGGCGTCGAAACTCACGGATGACGAAGTTGGGGAGGAAGATGCCGGACGTGAAGGCGGCGATGAAGAAGCGGAGGAGAATGAAGGAGATATAGTGAGTAGTGAAGGTGACGCCCACACCCATCACTATCAGCCCCAACGACGACACCAGCGACACGGTGCGGCGACCAAACCTGTGACACATGGGGAGAGTGGTGAAGGTGACGTCATGTGTCCATATCAGCCCCACCACTGACACCATCAGCCCCACCACTGACACCACCTGCCCTACCGCTGACACCACCTGCCCTACCACTGACACCACCAGCCCCACCACTGACACCACCTGCCCCACCACTGACACCACCAGCCCCACCACTGACACCACCTGCCCTACCGCTGACACCACCTGCCCTACCACTGACACCACCTGCCCTACCGCTGACACCACCTGCCCTACCACTGACACCACCAGCCCCACCACTGACACCACCTGCCCCACCACTGACACCACCTGCTCTACCACTGACACCACCTGCCCTACCACTGACACCACCTGCCCCACCACTGACACCACCAGCCCCACCACTGACACCACCTGCCCTACCGCTGACACCACCTGCCCTACCACTGACACCACCTGCCCTACCACTGACACCACCTGCCCTACCACTGACACCACCTGCCCCACCACTGACACCACCAGCCCCACCACTGACACCACCTGCCCTACCACTGACACCACCTGCCCTACCACTGACACCACCTGCCCTACCGCTGACACCACCTGCCCTACCGCTGACACCACCTGCCCTACCACTGACACCACCTGCCCCACCACTGACACCACCTGCCCTACCGCTGACACCACCAGCCCCACCACTGACACCACCAGCCCTACCGCTGACACCACCTGCCCTACCGCTGACACCACCTGCCCTACCGCTGACACCACCTGCCCTACCGCTGACACCACCTGCCCTACCACTGACACCACCTGCCCCACCACTGACACCACCTGCCCTACCACTGACACCACCAGCCCCACCACTGACACCACCTGCCCCACCACTGACACCACCTGCCCCACCACTGACACCACCAGCCCCACCACTGACACCACCAGCCCCACCACTGAAGGGTGGACAGCTGTCTAGGGGTGGACTACTGGGTGGACGAGATCCTCACCTGCACGTGTCAGTATAATACACAAGGGAGACTCTCTCTTTCTCTCTCTCCTATATTTCTTGAAATACATACTACAAATACATATTTACCTATTGTAACGTCGAGGTTGCCACCTCGCCTACTCGCAAGACCCCGATAGTACAACCACGCGAGGGACTGTGTTGCCATTGGTTGTCACGAATCACGCGGCTCAGTTCCCGCTCTCAATTGGCTGAATTGGCAACACTGTCAACTGTGGACTCAGGGAGTGGTGACTGGTATATCAGTTATTACTGCAGTGTAACTGTACTTGTTCACTTCACATTGGACAATGAGCCTGTACCTCTTGTGACTCTTGTAAGTAATAATAATAATAATAATAATAATTATTATTATTATTATTATTATTATTATTATTATTATTATTATTATTATTATTATTATTATTATTATTAAGTATTACTTACAAAATGGTGCAAAAGCTGTGGTCGGTGCAATCAATGGCATTGTAAAGAAAATCTAAGCAGTCTCACCAAATTGTATTGCAATTTAACTGCGTGATTCACAGGGAAGCGTTAGTGGCAAAGCGACTGAATGGAACTAGAAATGCTGAGGGGAAAAGTGACTTTGAGCTTCTACTTGATGATGTTGTCAAAATGGCTAATAGTATCTGTGCACATGCAAAAAAGCATAGAATGTTTCGTGAGTTGTGTAAGGTTATGGAAGCTAATTTCATAAGACTCCTCCTTCATACTGAAGTACGTTGGCTATCTCGGGGTAAGGTTCTTAATCCAGTGTTTGCATTGAGAGAGAGAATCTCTGTGTTTTCTTTACTGAGGAAGCAAACCCCATGGCAGTTAAGAGTCAGAATGTGCTCTGGCTGGCAAAATTGCCTTACATGGCTTCAATCTTCGATCATCGGAACGAGCTAAACATCAGTCAGCAAGGCACAGGTGGGGATGTTTTTGCAAGTATAGGGAAAATAAATGTATTTAAACTGAAGGTGAAAAATGGAAAAGCAATGTAGAGAAGAGATTTTGAATTATTTGACTCATTTATGAGAGAATGTGGCTGGGAACATAGTATGCAGGCAACAGAGCAGACACTGGAGGTACACATGTCACACTTAGTTACCATCACTGACACCACCTTATTTTAATGCAAGAAAACCTTGACTTCTATTTCCCAGACAGTGAGAATGACCAGCTGACCTCCAGCATGTGGATGCTTGATCCCTTCACAGATGAAGCAACTGATCATTGTGATGCTCTTTTAGAGCTTCGAGCGGATTATTCACAAAAAAGCAGTTTTCAAGACATTTAGCCATCCCATGGATTCCTGGGTTACCCTACTTGATATTCCAGAGTACAAGGATCTAGCTCAGCAGGCAATAGCCATATTTGTACAGATGCCAACATCATATTTGTGTGAGCAAGGGTTCTCTAGTTTAGTTTTGATGAAGACAAAGAATAGGAATGCAATCCTGAACTTGGATCCTCTCATGCGAGTTGCACTTGAAAATCGTCTGACACCTCGATTCAACCTAATAGCAGACAAAGTGCAACAGCAGCCAAGCCACTGATTTTATTTTAAAAGATAACTATTTGTTTTATTTATTGATACCGTACCAAATATAGCAACATTGTCTGCAATTTTACTTTAGAGAAGGAAAATGCGTCTATGTGGCATACTTAATGTTATCTTGTGTATTTTGAGCCTCTTAGTTTGAGATGAGGTGTGTAAATATATGGATGAATATGTAAAAGTTAAATAAAAAATAAGAGAAACTTTTTTCTGTTTACATAGTCATAGAAATGAGATATGAAACATAGATCTTAAATATTAAAAACGTGAGATTTTTAATGATACTTTTTCGGGGTGGGGGTGGACAGCTTCACGACTAGGGGTGGAAAACATTTGAAAAGGTTGAAGACCACTGACCTAGACTATGTGGTTACTCAGATATTAACATCCTAAATAACATAAGCAATGTTGAAACACCCTGTATTATGATAAAGATATTGGGAAAATGGATGATTTGCTTAACGAAAGGTGAACACCTACTTGTCTGAGAGCTCACTGAGAATGATAGCTCCAGCGAGCACTCCGCCCATGTAGGTCGATTGTACCATGGACGCCAGGTACCTTCTGTCGCATACCAGGTCCCACTGTGGAGGAAGGTAGTATTAGTACCAGGTCTCACTGTACTCACCTAGGTGTGCTTGCGGGGGTTGAGCTTCGGCCTTTTGGGCCTGCCCCTCAACTGTCAGTCAACCGGTTGTATAGGCTTCTGAACCTATTGGGCTCTATCATATCTACAATTGAATCTGTGTATGGAGTCTTCCTCCACCACATCACTGCTTATTGCATGCATTTATTAACTACCCTTTCTCAGAAAAATTTTTGTTTAATGCCTCAGTGGCTCATTTGGGTACTACGTTTCCACCTGTGTCCCCTTGTTTGTGTTCCGCCCGTGCAAAATAGTTATTTTTTGTCCACCTTATCAATTCACCTGAGAATTTTTTAGGTGTTAATACTTCCCTAGCTAACTCTTCTATCTTCCAGAGACGTGATGCTTAATTCTGTGAAGGAAGGTAGATGTTAAAACCAGGTCCCATTGTAGAGGATGGAAGGTGTTAATACTAGATCCCACTATGGAGGAAGGTAGGAGCTAATACAAGGTCCTACTGTGGTAAAGGTACCTGTTAATACAGCCACTACTATGGGAAAGATAAGTGTTAATTCCAGGTTCCACTCTGAGGAAGGCAAGCCTTAATACCAGGTTCCACTGTGGGCAAGGTAGGTGTTAGTACCGGGTCCCAGAGTGGAGGATGGTAGTGTTAGTACCGGGTCCCAGAGTGGAGGATGGTAGTGTTAGTACCGGGTCCCAGAGTGGAGGATGGTAGTGTTAGTACCGGGTCCCAGAGTGGAGGATGGTAGTGTTAGTACCGGGTCCCAGAGTGGAGGATGGTAGTGTTAGTACCGGGTCCCAGAGTGGAGGATGGTAGTGTTAGTACCGGGTCCCAGAGTGGAGGATGGTAGTGTTAGTACCGGGTCCCAGAGTGAAGGAGGGACCCTGGTGTCCGCCAGCCTGCCATAACTTACTACCCATCTTGGAACTTTGCCCTGCTCGCCTTCCTTACCCTCAAGATATTATACCGGGCATCTGCATAGCTTTATGCCTCCGAATAGTTCTAAGTTACTCCTTTAGTAGAGCTTACTCTGTCGTGGTGAACATGCTTGCACTCCGCTAGACACTCAGCTTTTTCGGTGACTTGTATACATTCCTTGGAATGAATTTGCAGCAAAGGGAGGAGAAGGTAATCACTGGTTAATTAAATAATACGGCGCAGTTCTTAAATACTGTCGTAATATATATAATAACGGCATACTCCTCCTAACTAATATTCCTAACACTCATACAATTTAGATAATATGTTACAGGAATAAGAGAAAGCACACTTATATAGGAATTTCCAGGTTCTCAATATATCCACTTGCTCAATAACAAGCTCACATTCCTACGTCCAAACTCTCATGTATCTACACACTCCACATCTCACACCACACTCTAGTCACTTCCCACACTGGACACTCTCTCTACGTGGCTCTACGTAAAGACAGAGTTCACGCAAATAGACACCCGCCCAACATAGGTGGCCCGGGTGTGTAATGCACAACTTATATTAATTATAATCTGCTCGCTCTAAGCTGGACATATCATCGAATATTCCTAATATGTTGTTTGTGGAACCACCACGAAACTGTCGACGGGGCAAGATACACGCCTGATCTAAGCTCTTGTTGAAAGCTTCCTTGGTCAAAAATCTTGTTCAAATTTTTTTTCAAAATCTTCATTTATCGAAGCTCTTGTTCGACGTTCTCGTTACAAAGACTTCTTGTAAGGCGCTTAGTCTTGATGTTGGTTCTCTATTTATTCATGTTCTCCTCGGTTATGCTTAGTCTTTCCTTAGTCAAATGTCATTCGAGAGTCTTTTTCATCTCTTGTTTCCCAGTGGCGTCTTACACGATCTCATCAGTGGCCGTCTTGACTCCAACTTCTCCTCTTTCAATAGTATATATTTGTCTCAACCTTTGGATGTCATTGTGGGATCTCCTCTCTCATGTGCTTGCCAATCCCTATAGGAATTAATTTAGAACTCTTCTTCTTTTCACTACTGGTATTCGTCCCTCTCTCTGGCTTCGCTATGTTGATATTTTTTGCTCTTTGGTGTCATGACCAATAAACTTCAAAGATGAATGGTAAGCTAGTTCTTTTCTTCCCTTCCTTCCTAGATCTCATGATGACAGCTCTACGTATAGCTTCTCCTTTTATCTATAGCTAGACTGTACATAGTGATATGTATATTTCTGTCTCTTTCTACCATTCTCCTTCTGTTAAGAAAAGTCCTTTCGTCTCCCTCTTTCTCTTGTCTCAGAGCATCTTTTACCCTCAGTTTCTTGATTCTTAAGTTTTATTTTCTCAACTGTGATAACTCTCAAGCTAAAGTAATTTTCTTTCATCCTGAACTGGCTTCCAGACGCTGTGCCTTCCCTTCATATAGGAACTTGAAAATATCACTTCATCTGTCTGGAATAACACATGACCTTGACAAACAAAACAGTTCCTAGAAATTCGGTTGATTCTCCTCCTCTTGATTCCAATGCAGAATGCGTTTATCACACTTCATACTTTACTTAATTGTCCTCTTCAGTACTTTGGTGAAACTGGCCGTACTCTTAAGGACAGACGTAGAGAGTACAAAAGACGTGTTAAGATTGCTAACACAAACAATGTTTGTCATGTTGGGGACTCCGGTCACTTTATAGCTAGGTCCTCCAAATTTTTTTTTTTAGTTCACTCAGTATAGACTAGTGTGGGAAAGACACCATTTTGAGGCTGTTACTGCTCCAAGCAAGTACTAAGGAAGTACGGTGTCTCATTTGCGAACTTTTACGTGAGAAATATTGAGCAGAAGGTCTTTAATGACATAGACCTTACACCAGACGTTTACAGTAGGAATAATGCAGACGATGAGTCACGGTAACGGGGCTGAAGTATGTTAACCTGACCACAATCGACTTGAGAATGGTCCAGGACGGACCGAAACGTCGTCGTCCCTTCACCTTCGACTGATGGCATATTCTTACCGGTAACTGACACTGAGCTCTTGATGCTATTTAAGGCAGTCTTAGAGCGAAGTTCCTTGTTAAGTATCACTTACGAGATGGAGAGCGAGGGTAAGCTGCCCTTCTTATATGTAACAGTGACGGATAGGAATGGTGGTTTTTTTTCTCATTGATATATCAAGCCGTTGTGATATCTTTGTGATCTGACAATGGGGCATACGTGTGGGAACACCATTACCTGCAGGCCAGAGGGACGGAGTTATCAGGAGAAAGTGTCAAGACATTACACTTATATAGCACTGGGAAGAGACCAGGATAAGGATTTTTGGGACGGGACGATGGGGGGGGGGAGAGAAGGAATTGTCTCCAATCACTTGGACGGTCGGGGATTGAACGCCGACTTGCATGAAGCGAGACCGTCGCTCTATCGTCCAGCCTAAGTGGTTGGATCTGCAAGCCAGAGTGTGGGCGGGTCGACTGCAAAATCTTGGTTAGGTTCCAGTTCGAGGCCTCCAGAACCTCCTAGTGAATTCATTAGAGTTCCGAGTTGTCGTTTTCTTTATTTATATATACAGGAGTTGTTACATTCTTGTAGAGCCACTAGCACGCAGAGAGTTTCGGGCAGGTCCTTAATCCTAATGTCCCCCGGAATACGACCCGCCAAATCGTTTAACAACCAGGTACCCATTTTACTGATGGGTAAACAGACGCAACAGTTAAGGATAAGCGCCCATTAAATCTTCCCCGGCCAGGATACGAACTTGGGCCAAAGAGCTCGGGAAACGCCAGGCGAGTGTCTTACCACTTCGCCACGGGCACTGCATCGTGTCCAGTTGGGTTTTGTTCCATCGAGGACGAGCCGGTTAAGGCAGGTGTCTGGGAATCACCAGAACGCCGGTTCCAGTCACTCCATTGCCTCAAAATGACTTTCTCATGTCTGACAGATTTTAGACTCTTATTTTGTTCGATACTCCATATTAGGACATATATGTATTTTCAGATCCTAAAGGAATTTTTAGGATCTGATCCTAAAGGAATCTTTAGGTTCAACTCATAAGGCAACGAACCCGACTTCTGCTTTGTGAGCGTTTTTCTTTAAAATGACGGCTTATTAACACAAAAACTAACATTGGCCAATAAGTAATTATCAAAAGCAGGTGACAAGCCAGGAAGACTGTTACACGTGTGACACGGTTAATCTAATATCAAACTTACCTGAATTTACCTGAGGGGTCACTAACACTCTGGTGGCTTGGACGAGGACAGGAAGCCGGTGGCTTGTCAAAGGTTTCCCTGTTTGTCCCAATGATTTTTTCAAGCTGGATTCTAAAATTCAACAATATTTTGGCGTTTACGACTTCGGAGGGTAGGCGGCTCCTTCATCATATTATCAAGACTGAAGATAATGGGATTTAAGTCTACATTACTCCAGATTAGTACATTTATTTGTACTGTCTAAACGATTTACTGACCTTGTGAATCTGATTTTACATAAGCGTGCTATAATAATAATGCTACTAAAAGTCCAACATGATACCACAAGAAATGAGGCACAAATATCTCTTGGAAATTTATGAAGAAGCCGGAGATGAACTAGATCAAATCTACACTGATGGGTCATCTAATCCTGTCAATGGCAGGGCTGGTGCAGCATGTACTGTAATTAGAAATAACGACTTTCTACGCAGAAATGAAGAAAAAGCACGTATTAAGAACTATGCCTCTTCAACGTAAGCAGAGCTAACTGCCATTGCTATGGTGTTAAGATTCCTTGAACGAAACACTAATGGCGCAGTTATATGCACTGATTCAAATGCGGCACTACAAAGCCTAAGTAAAAATCGGGCAGAAAATCTTGCGATAGTCGCTGAAATCAAGAGAGCTGTGAGAGTACTAATCAATTAGGGAAGAGTCGTCAAGTTTCTGTGGATCCCCTCCCATGTTGGATTATGGGGAAATGAACGAGCAAATGTGCTGGCTGCTGAAGGCGCTAAAGGAGACCATATTGAATACTTCATACCCAAGACTCTTCTACAAA